GTTTCATCCATATTTATAAAACGATGCAAGAAATCGGTTTATTCTGCTTAAAACGCTCCAAGATATGCTGAGAAATTTCTTTTCGATATATGTTATCCCAACCGGTGGTAAGATGAGGATTCCTTATACACTTCTTACAATTGTTCATCAATTTTTTTTACTTTTAAATCTTTCAAAACAAAGAATCTAAGCATTGCGTGATACTCAATTTTTTCGATATTTAAAAAATACTCCGCAACGTCAACTTCAAATGACTTGTAAACAAATAATTAATTAAGAGAATGACTTATAACTTTGCATGTGTTCCCACGACAGATGTATTAACTTGAAAAAAAAAATTGGGAGATAGTAGTGATTTTCTTGGTATGAGCTGAAACTTGGCAACCAACCTGAACACTTTCCATTTTTATACTCTCACAATATGTTGCCACAGAGTAAAATAAGTTTCTTCACCTAACGATTGTTTGTATCACCTAAAACTAATCGAAATTGATATGGAGTTATAAATATATATTTTGATATATAGTTGAATTTCAATTGACTCTCTGCCCGTCCCTCTATCCGTCTGTTTGCGCAAGCGATGACTATTAAAAATTTAGATATCTTAGTGAAACTTGGTAGACATACATATTTCTTGGATATTCTAAGAGAGAATGACATTATCCGTGTAAAAAAGTGCCTTCAAGATATTTCATCTTACGTCAAAATATTGTTGAAATTGACAAGTCATAGTTGTGCCAAAAATGGTTAAAATCGGGTCTAAACTTCCACTAATCCCCATTGTCCCAATATAAATATTTTAAAATTTCCGGTTCACGTCATATCGCCAATATGTAAGAAATCTTTATGTATTCTCTTGCCTTAAAAGGATGAAATCACTTCGATACTTTTCCTGTTTCAAAATAAAGTTTGGCTAACACCTGAAAGTATTTCTAGGCTTTGAGCCTTGCAAGGTGCGAGAGTATAAAATGTTTGGTTACACCCGAGCTTAGCCTTTCCTTACTTGTTCAAATAAAGTTTTGCGAACATCTGAAGGTATATGCTTGGCTTTGAGCCTTGCAAGTTGCAAGAGTATAAAATGTTCGGTTACATCCGAATTTAGCACTTCCTTTCTTGTTTCATATAATTTATGGCAGAAGAGCAGGCACGTCCCTTGGAAATATGCAATGGTGTGTACAAATGCATATTATAAGAAAGTTTATATTGGCATATGCCGTTCAATAGAATTTTAATGAAATCCAGTAATTAAAACAAGTAAATATGTATTTTATCCCTCACACAACGGTATTTGCCGATTCCGCATAATTAACTACAATTTACATATATTTTCTATCAGGTAAACAAGCTCTTAGTTGATTGTAATTCAACGAACAATATGCTGTCTTAAATTATGCACTCGTGTTGTGAGAACTCATGGAAACAAGCAACTGATTTCCCAGAAGTCTGCCCATTATTGAATTAGAAAGCAAATACGCACCAAATTGGACAAGATTTCATAATTGAATTTCGACAGCTACAATGTGCACGTAAATTCTACTACTTGAGGTTAATAAGTACATTGTACGTGATCAATATAACAGTATGGGTTGAATGTATGGGGAGCATTATTCTGGTCGTGGGCTCAAGCACTACATCTTCACCTATTAGTCCTTAAGTTGGAAGTTATAGACACATTCGCCTATCTATGAGATACGTTAGAAGTAAGAGGTTTTCTGGATAAGCGAAAATAATATTTTTTCTCTATTATACTATGGTACATGGTATAATGCGATGGTAGCTGATATAATAAGATCCTCAGCATTTATGGAGAACATTTCGAAATAAGCTCTAGGATAGCGCACATAGTGCCCGATATATGCGGTATAAAGTAAACCAGAAGTTCGAACATTTTGACATACTATTATCAGCGGGTCCACATATTCGGTACCTAGGGGCATGAACAGTTTTGGTTTGACGTATTAATTGGTGCTTTATTTGTATACTGGGATCTAATCAGATGGAATTTAAAATTGTATTATATGTATTAGGCGTGGTTGTAGTCCGATAGTCTCCATTTTTGCACTGTAACATAGAAATATCTGACGTATTATGAACTTTGGTTGTAATCGGTCGATCAGCTCCCGAGATATGTGAGTTCACCTAAAAGTGAGCGATGACACGCTCATATTCCAATTTTTTACACCGCTCTTGTGTCATCCTGGATGGTAAATTAAATGTGTCTGACGCGTTTGGTTATTGATTTATCACACCTTTTTTAGTTTTTAGCAAAGCCGTTATATGGGGAATGGGCGGGGCGATTGGCGATTTCACATTGTCGTAACAAGGGTTGAAAAAATGTGTCCTTTGCGAATTTGGGTGATGTAGCATTATTAGTTTGGAAGATATTTACATTAAATGTATAAGGGGCGGGGCCACACTCACTTTTTAAAAATTTATAAACTGCAGATGCTCCTTTGTAATGTCATTCGTTGTGCCTAGTTTGAGTTCTGTGTCTTAATTTACCAAGTTTACATGTGTGCCAAGTTTCACGAAGATATTTTAATTTTTAGTAAAGTTACAGCTTGCACGGACAGGCGGACAGACGGATGGACGAATAGAAAGTTAGCCGGACTATACTATACTATACTATACTATACTATAATATACTCTATAGCAACATGTTGCAAGAGTGTAAATATTCATAAAAGATCTGCTAAGTGTTGTTAATATAAAACATCGTGGCTATAAGGAACTAAAAATCCGTTGGACGGGTGGGTTTCCAGTATTAGTTATACACATACTTGCTATAGAAATTCTCCTGTGTATGGTATATAACTTCGGCGTAACCGAAATTAAAGTGTCTTTTTTTTGATTTTTTATGCATTTGCTAAACACTTGGTCATTACTTGTGATGTGTTGCGTTTGAAAATGTATTTTGCGTCAGCCTTCCGCTGTTTGTTACTGAACCTCACTTACTATTACGTATTATACTACCGCATGAGTGCCGTAAATTTTAATTTTAAATTGGTGACATCATTTCATGCATTTTAACCACAATGGCTGTTGCACTCGCCATATATGTAAATGCGCAGCTTATCCGCAACAGCTCGTGAAGCCAAAAATAACGACAACGCCATTGCGGCGGAAAACACATAGAGATAAAATAACAGTTACATTGTACGTTGTTTGTGTTTGTAAACATTTGCATAATGACATAGCAACACCGCTCACTTTATTAACGGACATGACAAAATTACGCTGAAGTGAAAACAGTTATTCTGCGATGTTATATGAATGAGCTGTTCTCTTGGAATATTGTAAAAATGAGCGTAATCTAAATACATACACACTTGCTGTCAATATGCCGCAATACAGCTCAGAGAAAGTGTGAGAAATGATCAAAAAATGGTCGAACTCGGTTCATTATTACCTCTAATCCCTTATACCGTCAATGAGGATCCCTGTTCTTCCAATTAATTTTGTCAAACATTTATACATATCAACATGCAGACTTAACTACGTAACTTTGTTATAATTAAAGCAACGCAATTACACACACAACACAACATTAAATTTCACAACCAAGATGGTAGGCAAGGTCTTAATAGGAGTGGGTGCAAAAATTCAACAAGGGGTGTGGCACCGCCCAATTTAAGGGGAAATCCTATATAGCAGAAATTTCGAGGAGCAACGGATTACAAATTTTGAACTTTTAGTAATTTATTATACATGTGCCTAACTTCATTAGAATTGAATGCAAAGGAAACTGATTTCATTTCTGTTGATTAAACCACATTTGCATTTATAATATGCTCTCCATTTTTATCGGTCTGGCATTTTTATATTAAATATAAAGGTTTTTTGAGTGTTTACTTTCTGTCAGCTAGCGAAATTTGCCTCCCTCAGGATTTGGGCCTCTCCCGAAACTAAAACCTGGCCACGGACCTGTGTTTGTAAGAATTTAAAATCCACATATCGAAACAAAAGTTGGCACAAATTATAAAAACAATGCGTGAATACCCTAATTTTAAATTGATGCATCCACTTCATGACCGATTTCTTTTTGAGGTACTGAATCATTTGAAGTTTACATCTTTTCGTGCAGATATTTTACCTCGAAAAAATCTTTGAATCATGTTTAGACGCTCTCTTGCCTTCAATGTATCCACTGTGGTAATTTAGCCTCTCTAATCGACTTGGTACAGTTACCGGTTAGTGGAAGATAAAATGTTTTTCAACTTTATAACAGTTATTAACAATACATTTGCAATGACATCGTCATAAATTTCAGAACTTGACAATATAAGAACTGTATGGTATATAATCTGTATATAATGTATCTATAACTGTATATATCTGTAATATTTGAATAGACTGAGATAGAAACATGGCATTTTCTCCTTGTAGTTTTCCACACTCTTGAATATAAGTTTTAAATTGTTACTTTGTTGTTTGCTTATTTCTTCCACTCGTTGTTACAAATATTTTCTGCTTACTTCCTTTAGTTATTTAGACGAAAAATAAACAATACATGACTTTCAATGCGCCATTATTCCTTCGATGGCCTGTAGCAAAAAACGTTCTTCTGGTATATTGTTCATTTAAGTTTTGTGAAAATAAACTCATACCTTTGCCGTATATTTGCAAATATATTTACCTGTGTCTTCACATTAAGTAACAAATTTGAGAGCCAATTGGTTTTCTGAAGAAACAAACTTTTTCCATGCATCTATTAGTAAACTATGTGTCAGTCCTTCTGAAGATCCTCTTCAATGCAACCGCAAACTTTTATGATTTATGTGCAGGTTGTCAACAATTTTGCCGTGTTTGTATACTTTAAAACTAGCTGGAAAAAAGGACTATAGCGAATACTTGAATTTATTATTAATGAATTATTAGTACTGTATTCTGCTTATTTCCTTGTTCCATACGAGCTATTGTGTTCATTCATATCCTTTTCATGCCAATTTGTTTTGTTAATTTCTATTACTATTCCCACATGTCGACACCTTTAAGAGCACTGTAAATTTCGTACGTATTTTAAGAACTACTAAGGTAAGAAAAGCATCAATTACAAAAACAATCAGGACAACGCCAGCAAGGCCACTAAGTTTGAAAACAGAGGGAATGATTCATTCTTGAAAAGTACGCATCTGTAATATTTATAGGCGTCCACTCTATTTCATATGAGATGTCAGAGCAGCCTCATTGCCATATACAAAGGTGTCTCCATTTTCACTGAAATAAGCGTGCATGAAAAACGGCTCTAGAGAATAATGAGGCAATGCCACATTTGCTGCCGCCAACGCCCACAATACCAACAGCTATTCGCTGCCACTGAATGCTGCAGAATGCTTTACGACACTAGCTGACGAATGGCAATATGTAAATTGCGTTCTGCGTGCCTTGCCGAGAGAGGCAAAAAGCCAAGTAGCTACCAGAAAATGGTAAAAAGCATGCATGCAGACACGAAGGTGACAACAAAGCGCGGAATACTTTGAAGCGACTGAGCGATGGCTTACTTCGCCGAAGAATGATATGCTTTAATAACCATATTTCTGAAAGTTATCTAACACACGTGGGAGTAGTAGCGAAAAAATTAAGAGCGGTTGTAAATTGCAGACTTGTATTTATACTATTGCAACATGTTGCTACAAAGTTAAATAGTTTTGTTCATTTAACGGTTGTTTGTATCACCTAAAACTAATCGAGTAGATATAGGGTTATATATTATATATGCTCAGGAATGTTTGAATGCCAAAAAAATGGCCAAGAAAACTATACCTTTATAAATTGCCTGTTTATGTCTGATGAGGCATATTTTAATCTAAACGGAAATGTCAACAAGCAAAATTGGCGTAAATGGATCAAATCAAATCCAGAGATAATCCACGGGAAGGAACTTCACCCAGAACGAGTCACTGTGTGGTGCGCAGTTTTATTGAGTTGTCGGGCTATACTTCTTTGAAGAAAACGGGTGTGGCCTCGCTCTCTAACAGGTTTAATGTACATATCTCCTTTGTCACTTAAGATACCATAAACTGATGCGCTCAAAATCATTTAAGGACCGCTACAGACGCTGCAAAAATGGATGAAATCGGATGATAGACGATGGGCGTGTCCCCGCTCACATTTAGGTGAAACCCCATATCTTAGGATCTATGCGACCGATATCCAAAAATTTGGTATGTAATACTGTCTTAACATTCCTATGTTCCAGTGCGAAAATGGGCCATCTTATTATTTTACTTTCCTGTATATAAATAAAAACCTTTGTGCGAATAGTGTCTTTGACGTGTGCCACCTTACGACTAAAAATTGTCTAAGTCGGATCAAAGTATTCAAGCCCCCATGAAACGAATATATGGACGCCAGTTTCTATTGCGAACTTTTTATCAAAAATATCGTTCAACCTGTCAGATATATTATTGAAATTCGAAAAGAATTTTTTTCTTTGATCCTTGCAAGTAGAAAATGTTCGATTACACCCGAACTTAGCTCTTCATTACTTGTATTTCTTTTACTTCTCCTAAAAGCATAAAGTCAACTCAAATAGATTTGGATACAACAATTTGTAAACATATAGTATATAGCTGATAAATTAATGCAATTCTATTCAAATAACAAACAGTTGAAAAACTAAAAATACAAACTCTTTTAATGATTAATCGATATTTATATAGCTTCTAAACTTCATGATAAAATGAGAAACCAATCTACTCATTTAACAACGAGCATTCAAAGAGCTTCACACTTTGTTTTAATGTAAAGTTATAAATTGTCATTAGCTTTCCTTTGTTGTAATGCGCAAAGTCAGAAATTTGTAATGCGGTTAAACAAATTATCCCTACATTTAAGTTAAGATAAACCTTAATAGGAGTTCTGGCAGAAGGAAGACTCACATATATTTCGCCCACAGAGAGATTGTTTATCCTCTCCAGCATACTTAATTAATTAATTAATCACAAATTAAAATTTTGGTATACCCTTTTTAAGAAAGGCATGAAAGCTCAAAGCTTTTATTTGAAAAAAAATAGTTCGTACACTATTCGGAAACCTCCATTCCATTGTATGCATTTTTATACAATTTTATAACTTTTCTTTCGAGTTCCAATCAATCTAATAACATACAATCATATTATTTATTGCTTGTTTTACCAGGATCGATGGTATTGTACTTAAGGCTAGTACCCTAAGAAGGGGATAGACGTTATTTTGTTTTGTGTCGAGCTCTCGATCAGGCAAAAGAGTAAGTAAGTAAGTATATTAGCTTTGACTTTGAATTGTATTCATACTCTTAGATAATGCACTAAATGCTTAAATATGCGTTTGCTTTCATGCATCTCATAAATGTCAATTCAATTTGTATGCTATTCAGAGAAGCGGTTGGTTAAACTGTTGGCTCAGTTGACAAGTTAAGTTGTAGTAATGGAAAATCTTGCAAATTCGTGTGGTTTTGAAATATTTTGTGGTTTTATTTACATGTACATTTTAGTTTTAAAGTTATATTGGCGCATTCACTTTAGATAGGCGGAAACCAATTAGTTGCGTGACAGCAAGAAGTCACTTATAATCCCGCAAAAAGACTTGTTACATTTTCAAAGTTTATTATAATATTATATAGGCATAGCTATTTAGCTTTTAAATAGTCATCTTCGTTATATTTTTCTACTCTGAAATAAACTTTAATTGCAGTGATTTAATATTTGCAAAGTTGGCAACACTAAACTTCATGATTTAGAATGACTTCCGCTTTTTTGGTTTATTGGCGTGTGTTGTCGTCATTATTATAGGCAACCATCATTGTTAGAAACTTTGTCCCTTAATGTCATCACAGACATACTGCGGTTAACAGAACAAGCACTGCGGCTATCCAGTTAGCTATGCGCATCATTGTAGTTCAACGATTTCCAATTCCGTCCTTCCGCCGTCTTTCTTTCATATTATTCAAATTCCATTACACCTTTTTGGAATGGCGTTATAATAGAAACTTTCTTGCGGACTTCTTGCAGCAGCATACTATGTCTGCCCAGCATACAATGTCTACAAACAAAAATATATATAACATTGTATGTTTTACTGTCCACTGTTTCCTAAGTTTGCACAAGGTTAAAAAGTTGTCAAAAATTACTGACAAATATTGTTAACTATTTAAATAACTTATAATTAATATAGGGTTCGGCATTCGTATCTGCAGGGCTATTTCATCAATGAACTACTTGTATATCCAAAAACAAAAGGACTTTTTGGTTCCACTGTATTTGGAAATATATCTGCAGCAATATAATAAACATGAACTAGACTTTTTTTTATATCGGAATTGTTTTGTAACTGCTCAAATATTTGCGGTAGTATAATATACATTTATCCCTCTTACAATATTCATCTACCTATACTAGAGCTTCAAACATTAATACCATGGGGCTAAATTGAGTTGAAGTAAAGAAATTACTTATATTATATTATGTATATTACGTCTAAAATACTAAGCTAACAAATATAAAACGTTATGTAAATAATATGGAAAATAGCTACAACCTTCTTAAATATTGAGAACTTTTATACTCTCGCAGTATAGTGCAGCAACATATAATGGTTTTGTTCACCTAACGGTTGTTTGTAACATCTAAAACTAATCGAGACAGCTATACGTAAGTATATGGTCATAGAAGGAGAATAGAAATTAAAAAAAAAAATGATTTTGTTTTTCATATTATATTTTCAGAGTTTAGACCTTCAAAAATATGCCCTTCAACGAATTTTCAAAAATTCGAACTATTTTAAACAAACACGCGTTTTTCTCGAAACTACTTATTTTGAGGTGGTTGAGATCATGCTTTATACTTAACCGACTGAAATTTGATAAAAATCTTTGCTATATATCTCTCCACCGCGCCTGCCTCGGATTTTGGCCAATTTTTTTTTTAAGTAAAAAGGGAGTTAAAATAAATTGTTTTAAAGTCCACGCCAGTTTGCGATTTTTTTTTTATTTGGCAAAGGTCAATTAGAAAGCAACTTCTTTACTAATGAAGAACTTTTTCAATTTGTTTGTTTCAGATTACTATAAGGGTAGGCATCATGTCAACCAGGAACCAACGGTTTTTTGCAGCCTCAATCCACCGGCCTGTATTACGGAGTTTGAAAAATGACACCTTTGAGTGGGCAGATATCCATCCGTGTACACCCATAACATATCACACCAACTGCTCCACCAATTCGAAAGAAATTGGTTCATTATGTAATCTTGTGTATGCTACAGTATCAGAATGAGTGAAATTGCTATTCAAACATACCTATTTACTATAAGACAGAATTTATAATTTCATCAGATTCTTTCATTTTACATTACTTAAATCTGGCAACAATAAGTGTATATAAGCTGTATCTTTACTCATCCAAAAACGGTTGGAATTGAAATAAAACTTTTCAAGATCCTCAGATATCGAATATGAGAACATCAATGCATATGGCTGACATTATACCCAAATTATCGGTTAATCTGTGGGTGTTCGTAATAAAATTTACAAGGCACCTTTTCCTGATAACAGTGTGTCCTGATTGGAAATAATTTTTTAAAACTTGGTCACATCACATATAATATAAGTAGGAGTAAGGAGTCATCTACATTAAAATAATGCGATACATTATTAAAATAATTTTTTTGAGCCTCTTAAGTTGCTATTATAAATTATTATATACTACTGTTCACTGTTCTCTTTTTTAAAAGCACGGCTCGTGAATTCCCCAAATAAACTGCAACAAGAACTTTTAATAGCTATGGAAATGAACGTAAATTCCTGTATTATATTCCTTTTTTCCTAACAAGCAAAAAATTCGAATTTTTCTGTGTATTCGCAGGAGACACCGGGTGCCCTTTTATACATATTCGGAAGGTACGTAGCCATTAAATATTTACTTTACTTGTCCTAGGAACACTTAAGAAGTAATATTAAGTAAAAGCGCCTGACGTGGGCAGAATACCAAATGTCTAATTATGCAGAATAAATTATATGGAGTAAAGGTATGGATTGATTTTGGGGTAGATGGGGATGTTACTGCAATGTGTTGTAAATTGCTTTACTGGATGGATGGTCAATGATTTTTACGTAGTTCAAATTAAGTTTATTTAACCAAAGTCAAAAATGCTTAATCAGGTTTTAATTTCCCTCTAGGTGTTCATCCTACCTTCTTTTCAAAAGGTGTAAATTGGCAGTTCACAGGTTAGTGGAAACTGCACAATCGATATGTGAATGCGTAGATCCTTTTTTTTGATGGGAGAATACCGTTCACCGTTCACCTATACCCATTTGAAGAGCATCATAAAATGTCCGCCTACTGCAGAGAAACAGAAAAAATGCAAAATTAATTTTTTTATATTTCATAACATCATGCAGAAATAATCCCTACGTGCATATTAATATACATGAAGGCTTGTTTGTGTGAGAATGTAAAAGCCTTAATTCCAATAAGCTGATGAGCGAGGCAAGGTAAACAGCCGATCAGCTCTACTCACGAGTTCTCCATTCGCAACGAGTTCTTGTGTAAGATACTTGTATAGGTAGAGTTTCTTTGTGTATATTTGTATTTTCAAATTGTCATGGTTACGTCTTTTAAATTTATGAAGAGATCATTACCTGAATATTAATTAGAAGTACGAAAATGCTCATTAGATTTAATTTCATCCTCCGCTGCGGTATAATCTAAATACCATTCGAATTATATAACGGGTGTTTAATCAGACGTAGTATTTTCAATAAGGTAATACTTTTTTCTGAGGTATTTTTGACAGCTGTTACTTGGTTGATACTCTATTTGGCTCACAATTGCTGCAAAAAGTGGTAAAAAATTGGACTTCTCGACTGGACTTCGAACCAGCCTAAGCGGTTACTTTCCCGAAATAATTTTTAAAACATAATGGAAAGCACTTATCTTTATAATAGAGCTTAATTATTAGCAACAACACTTAATTAAATGTGTATTTATTCATATTGAAAACCACATATTTAAAATAAACACCCTTTAAATTAGTTATTAAATATTCTATTCAAGTTTTTTATTATCGAAATCTTCCAAAAGCACTTTTTAAAGCCGAAAACGAATAAAACCAATAAAAATGTGTGGAAAATATTAGTACATAGAATCAACTGTAAAAAAATTAAATTTAGTTTAATGAACTAAACGAATTTACATAATAATAATGATATGCTTTATACTCTATAACACAAAATTAAAAATTAAATTTTTTTTATCCGTTGCCTTCTAGCGAAGTATTTTATAATGAAAATATCCTCTAAGCATAGAAAATCAGAGTATTTAATTTCGGCAGATTAATATTTGTTCCTTGCGCGTAATTTTGTTAATAATACAAATTTACAATCCTTACAACTAACCGTATGTTAACAAATATGAGCTTAAAACTAAATAGATGAAAATATATTTTTATTTGTGTTATTTTAATATTAAGGAGAAAGAAAGACTTTAAATTAAAGGATGATTAAAGTATTGATCAAATAACAAGTGAGCATATTACGAAATGATAAAAAGAGATATGAGTAAATAAATAGTACAGGTAAGGAAAGAATAAAAAGATAATGATAGAGTGTTGGTAGTAAGAGCACTGGTATATAAATATAAACACATATATATATATAAAATGTTATATATCTAAGCTACTATATTCTCAAATGCACAGACTAAAGTTGATTTTTAAAAAGCAAACTAAAATCTTTTGACTCAAAAAACGAGCATGCATTGAATATACTTTGACGAACTTAAGTGTTAAGTACTAGTAAGCATTAATTCAATCAAGTGGCATGTACATATGTGCACATGGCATTAATATTTGTATATATTCAACCACAAGAAGTTTTATAACATAGACAAAGAGTAGTTCAACAGCATACTGCAATTACTTTCTGTAAAAACACCTTTGATTAGAATGAATTATGTTTTCTTTACTTTAAAAAACATAAAGAAGTAATTAGCACAACTGCTCGTTGCTTCTTTCGGCACAAGAATATTTTCAGACACACATATTTTTTACTCATCAACATCCACAAATGCCATTACTTAGTTTATTTGTACATATAAGAACTGAAATATGTGTTAATAAAAAGTGCAGAAATATAAGATGTTCCGTTATTTCCCAAATTAATTTTTTTATGCAAATGCTCTCTAAACTTTCAGTGTTTGCATTAAAAAAATTATTCACTATAAGCAAGCTCTTTATTTTCAATTTAAACCGTGCGTAAGTCATGTTCTTTTCCATATATTGTATATAACATACGATTTTGTGATCCTTTGCAATAAATTTTCTATCTCCAAAAGGAATAAAAATACCCTAATTAAGAAGGGATATTCTGATACAACTTTTTTTGCGCTAAAAAAGGTTTTCTTAGTTTTTTCCATAAAAAATACTTTCTTAAAATTTATATGCAGTTAAATATATGGTACTCATCAAAAGTACTGTAGTCATACAGTACACCGTGGCGTATGAGCAACTCAGAATGTAATTATAGAAAACTTGTGTAAATGTGCTTTTTATAAAATACTCATAAATATTTAGATTTTATGTATGAATATTCTTTACTGCTTATTTATTGCGTTTTATCTGAAAAAGAGAAAACTTGATTAGAGAATATCATAAAGTTATTAAACGTTGGTTCCTAAGCATGAAAAGCAAAAATAAATGTAACAAAATTTAAGACAATTTCCCAATAAATATTTAAGGACAGAATAGGCCACCATGACAGAAATGGCAATAAAATTGCATTTTAGCCTTAAAGCTAACTTATAATGTAAGAAAGCTTAGTGATCCTTACCAATTCTTAAAGACGTGTTCTTTTGAACCAACCGCTAGAAATTTCAATAGTATAAAAATTGTTGGTTATTATTCAAAAACAAAAAAATTTAACAGAAATAATATATTTGTTCCCCTGCCGGTTGTTTTTAGAGCCTTAAAATATTCAAAATATTATATATAACAAAACTATCAGAGTAACAAATCGAATTGAAGCTCAGTAGTCTTTCTATCCATCGTCTCACCAAGTTAGATACTTCTTGTGGGGAACTATACTGAATGTGAAGTATCTCAATACAGCTTGCCAAGAATTTCGCACTTAGCATAAAGTGATATTGATAAAACAGATCCATAGACTAATTGAGCTCAACATATGAGGGATTTAATAATTTCCAGATAATACTTTTTGAAATTTGTAATGTGAACTTAATTTTATAAAAGGGTTTATCAAATCACTTATTATTAATAATCAGACCTCAAGTAAGCTACTTTAAGTTAAAAATATACTTTCATCGGCTTAATTTGGCAACATTTGTTTTTTATTCCGATTAAAAAAAATGATTCTCAAATAGTTTTGGAAAAGTTTAGTGCTGAGGATATGTAGCCTAATACAGAAAAACTATAGTTTGGCAACAATATTATGAATTAAATGTATTTTCACATTGAATTCACATAGGTTAAACGCTGTGTTCTATTTTAACTCTGCGCATTTGGCAGATGTAAGAAAACTTTCAGATTTTCCTTCCAATTAAGCGTAAAAGCTTCATGCACATTTTACTGTGATGAAAAAGTAAATTCCAACTAATGTGCGTTAGAAAGTTTTAAGGCTAAAGTTTTTATATCATCAACATTGCACTCGAATTGTAACCAATTCAACCTATTCGAAGAAACGATAGCTTGTTAGCTTCTACGACATTTTAAAAAGTTTCAAGCTATACTAAGCTCTTACTACCCCCTTTCGCTATACTAAATACTAACTGGTACTACTCGTTTGTTGATATTTAACCACCAAACCTGCTGCAGTTTACCACAGCGCAGTAATTTAACGTTAGGTTAAAACTTGCTCACCGCTTTACATGTGAGTATTTTTTAACAAAAGCTATTCGAATGTATAAAATCTGCTGACAATTTTGCATTATTTTCACTTGGAGCTAATCGCCTGACACAAAAAGTGTCCAACTCTAAGCTGCTTATATGGAATGAGTTTGTTTAATTGTTTAGAAGCCAAAACCAATGATTTATATACCGTAAGTTGAGTGCAGTACACATTTAAAAATATTCTTATGTGAAGCACTTGTCTGCACTTTATGAATGAGTGATATGCTCGGTGAAACTTGAAAGATTTAAAAGTAGTAAAGACTGGTATATTTAACAAAGTTGCCCTTTAAAGCAAAAAAAAAAATTACTTCAATAAAATGATAGTTTTTGATCATTTGGTGTCAGTGAAGTGATTACACACTTTCAAACTCCATTCCAAATTCCGTAGAGTTAGAGATTATTCAGCCGATATTAGGAAAATTATTTTCCACAATCTACAGATATATATCTCATACGCTAATTTTTCAAACTTTTGCAACATTTTTCAATTATTCTTTTGCTATCAAAGGCAAATTTTCCGACCTATGGAATACGCATCTTTTCAATAACA